ATATTAATAATTCTACTATGGCTGCACATGAATACTCTCAGAATATGTCATGCGTTCTTCATATATCTGTCTACTGCCTTGTTTGTTTAAGAGTTGCCTGTGACGCAGCCACGTTTATACAAGGGGACAACGAAAAAGCTTTGTATCTGCGCCGAACGTTGGTCAGGTACTTGAACCTTTGCCACGTGCTCGTTTTACGCGATGTGTCGAAACCGGTACGGATGCAGTTTCCCAGCTTTCAGCATTTGATCGACAAGGGTTACATGACCGAAGAGGAAGTGAGGCTGTACCATCACATGGACGGCTCAACAAAGACCAAAATCCACAACTACTGGATTCCGTGGCAGTGGGCGTGCTCGTTGGTCGTCGCTTGCCGAAAGGAAGGCTTCATCTCCAGTGATGCAGCCATGTCCAAGATCTACGGAGACATTCAATTGTACAAAAAGAACCTGCAAGGTCTGGTCAACTACGACTGGATCACCATTCCTCTTTGCTACACGCAGGTGAGGGTTCCGACATATTTCGTCACTATATGCATATATAAGAGGAAAATTGCCTGACGGTATAATATGTTTACCGTATGACCGTGTTGGAAATCAAAGCGTGTGCAAGCGATCACTAACAGCAGCAATTAATAATGCTGTTACACAAAAATAAACCCTATTTTCATTGGTTTGTTTGCAGACTGTCGCCTTTCAGTGCCGAAAGGTAACGAAAATACTCGCTTGTCAATTCTCTGTAGTTATGCGACAAACCACCGTCCCTTGGCTGTTTTCTATAGCTTAGGAGACCGTTTAAGCAGGCCACGGCTCCATGGAATTTTGGCACCTGCAGTAGACATGGGCGCAAAACAACACCGCTTTGTTGAGTCGAACAAAAACAAGGTGGAACACCAAAGAATATACCTCAACCCGTGGGCATATGAACTTAAAAACCCCGGTATGATGGGTTTGCTAGCAAACCGCGACGGTGTTTCGTCGTTTAAATAGGAGGGATGGAATTTATGGAATCTTATTATTACCGGCGGTATTTAAAACTATCAGTCTGTTACCAAACCCATAATGACGAGTTTATCATTGGTATGTATGCGTACGGAATGAAATATGTTCGACAAAAGGAAGAGTGGTGCTGTTTTGCGCCCATGTACTGCAGGTGGTAAAATACCATGAAGCCGCAAAAACGATTCCCCAGGGATACAACAAGCAAGGAGACGGTACACTACGTGGCGCGTAAATCCGGAGGATTAACAGGACAGTGTTAAACGATGCAATTTGTGACTGTTTTCGTTTGGCAGTGAGGGGACACGCCGAGAACCCTTGCCAACGTGCTTGCACAGAATTCTCGCACTTGTGACAACCAAAGTGACACAACCGTGTTTGACTCTTCCTCAATTCATATCATCCCTTAAATTAGTCTTCCTCAACGACGACGGGCAGAAATTGTGGAAAAGACTGAAAATCCTTTTTTTTCAGAGGACAGAGGAATCAAATGCCAAACATAGTTGCAGAGAACCTGTAAACGTTATTTGCTTGTTGACATGGTCCTGTGTACCAACCCATGTTACCTACATTTGAACGGTGGCATATATCTCCTGATACATCACATATGCTGCTGTTGAGGGGAAAGATTTTGCCTTGACGAATAAACTGTTGTGACGATTGGGAGTGCTAAAATACCATGGCTGGTCCCAGTGGTTCTCTAGGCAACTGCGAAGAATGGAGCATTGCAAATGACAGTGAAATCATGCCTCAGAGGAGTTCAACAAATCACATGGCTGTTATTGCTGTTGGGGCTATGATCAGACTTCTATGTATTACACGCCGGAAATGTTATGATTCACATATTCCTGAAAATATGGACTCGCATTTGGTGAAGAACAGTTACAAAGGTGGTGGGGCGTTTAAATACCGCATAAAATGGATGTGTAATCGAAGTGTGTATCAACCTGGTCCTTCAGCATTACGAAATGGCTACGAAAGAAACTTAATTTGACCATTAAACAGATGTACAGTTAAAGTTCCGGCATTCACTCACTCACCCATTCATTTCCTCAAACGTTCATTTATATTCAAAGTTAATTCTTTCCTTCGAG